CACACACACACACACACACACACACACACACACACACACACAGATTCTCCTGTCTATTATGGGAGCGCTACCTGCTGGAAACTGGGTCCAGCGTCCCATGAACATCGTGAATAAAGCACCAACCGGGACCCCACACACGCTCTTCGAGTTATGTAAGTGAACATGACAAAACATACATACAGCATAATCACTACCTTACACTTCCCGAACCACATAAACAAACGAACTACGGGCTGCGCACCCGTGCCCTCACGGTAAGTCAATAGCAGGTGTCGCCTGCTGGTGGGTGCAGCTCCCGCATGTTCCCTCGTTGGAGGCTTGAGCATGGATGTGGCTGCTACGGGGTTCCCCATAATACTATAATGACAATAAAAGAGGAGCAACCCTTTTATATGAAGGGTTGTGGCACCCAACAGGTCACCCTCCAGTGGCCTTGCTAGGCCCGCCTGTCCCCGCGGCTGGCTGGTTTGCCAACGGCCCACAACCTCAACAACTGCCCCACTCAGCAGGCCACAACACCATCCCCACCGGTCCTCGGCACAAAAGCCTCGAGGACCCAAAAAAAAAAACTTCCTATTTTCTTCGCGCCGCAGTTCCGATCTCTGTTGCGGCGACCTCTTTTTAATCTACTTAGGCCATGAATCGTGCGCCTTAGTAGTTGCGTGACATTATTTTAGGTAGACTAGGTCTAACTTTAGTCTTTCCATGACTACGCACCCCTGCGGCCTTGTCGGGAATCACGGATGATAAGTCGTACCGCTGACTCCCGTTGTTTCGATTGAACCCCAATGACGGAGAGAAGGTTAACAACAGTCGTATTTTTCATCGCCACTTCAGGACACCCTTCACCACTTCAGGATGCAGTTTGCCTAAACAGGTGGTTTTCAGGGTCTTCGGACCTTTCACCACTTCAGGACCATTCAGGTCTGAAAATTCTGAATGGTCCTGAAGTGGTGAAAGTTCCGAAGACCCTGAAAATCACCTGTTTAGGCACGCTGCATCATCAAGTGGTGAAGGGTGGTTTTCATGGTCTTCGTACCTTTCACCACTTCAGGACCATTCAAGACTTTCAGACTGCCCAAAACTCTCACTTGACCACTTCAGGACACCCTTCACCACTTTAGGATGTAGCTTGCCTAAACAGGTGGTTTTCAGGGTCTTCGGACCTTTCACCACTTCATGACCATTCAGGATTTTCAGACTGCCAAAAACTCTCACTTCAGAATTTTCATTCCTGAATTTTCAGCTACCCGATAACCGCTTGTGCAATGACGTCATACGTCAACGACGTCAGGTTTTAGGTCTCTCAATTATAGGGTTGGTCTGAATAAATTTTGGCAACGTCAATCTCATCATGTTCCTCGAATCCAACGAAAAGAGTCGGACAGCATCCGACCTTGAAAAACTCGGGCAAAAACCGACAGCGTTAATTCTCTACCGTACAACCCCTTTGATAACAAGCAACTACGTTAAGCACTTTGTGATTCACGATTTTCACCCATTAGGGTTTGGGCTTCACGGTGTTGTGTTCAGTGGGGGAGAAAAACGTAGGTAGACAAGCGAGATCCCCCTCCCAGGTCCCTGGGGAGTGGATGGAGATGAAAACCGTTTAAGAGAATTGGTACGCATACGTTATGACGAGGGCATTATGCCAACAGACATAAATCTGGGTGAGATGATAGTAAAGGTCGAGAGGTGAGATTTAAGGTCAATGTGTATTTGGATCAAGCCAAAATTAACTGGTTGAAGGCGCAAGGTTTCTTCCGAGGAATGTGAAGGACGACAGCACAGGCATATGAAGACAGGAAGATTTCGGAAGGCAGCTTCGACGCACAAACATTTTGAAGAGGACGAGTAAAGGTGGAGTCACCAAACGTTGTCTCCAATGTGGTTAAATCGATTGAGGTGGCAAAATGGCTAGTGAACAAGGGGTCTGACGAACTCACTGTAGGCACTGATCACTATGTCTTTGAATTCAAACCTTGGTTGACGAAGGCTCAACTTCGATAGCAACGCCAAGTAAAAGATGAGGATAACTTTTGGGTAATTACTGTTCAAGTCCCACTTGATGTTTTTTTTTATTTCTTGAGGCTCCATTGCGTCGAGCGATCGGACCAGTAAGACGTTCGCACCCTCCAGAACGAGATAGAATGAGGTCAGCACTGGTTAATATTAAATTTGATATTGACCCTGCAGCACGAGAGAATATAAAGGACAAGATATGGATAAATACGTCGGAAGGCCATGCCCTTGAAGTTAAGCTAACTTCATCTACGACTCCTCGTTGTAGACGGTGTCGAGATTTTTTTCACACAAAAGGAGAGTGTTGGAGAGGGAATAAACAACAGAACCAAGCAACCTCGGGTTTGCCGGGTGACCCGCAGGCTCAAGCAAGAGGCCCGAAGCAGGTACTATCAAGGGTCACTAGGCCCGACAGGTCAGATAGCCTCCAGCGCAAACACAGTTGCCGCTCCGTTCACTGCCACCCAAACACCAAATGTAGCCGGGTTCTCGCAGCACAACAATCCTGCTTTCTCACCTGGATTCCATGCTCCTCCCAGCTTCAAATCCCCTCCAAACGGTAATAACCAAAGCGGGATTCCATGAAATCCTCAAGTATCCATGCCATGGAGTATGTCGGGATTTCCATACGGCGTGCCACCAGGGATGTCACACCCCTCGGCGTTTGCTCCTTATCTCCATGCTTACCCTTCCATGGGAGGGTCGTTCTCCACTTACATGGAATTAGGTCCAGCGGTTAGAGGCCCTGGTGTGTATCCTGCTCCTCAGACCACTGACTCTGTCATACCGCATACGTCAATGGGACTGTCCCCTCCTCCAAGACCTATGGCTGCACGTGCGCTTCATTTGGGAGCAGAACCATCCACATCTCAGGTACGAATCAATACACTGGGCAAGCAAAGAAGATTAGATCACGAAGGAAGTTTTATTTCGGATGGCGGTAACATGGAGGGGGAAACCTCGGCCACGTCATCTCAAGGTTCAGAGGGAAATTACGCTATAATCGGCACTTCAACGTCCCAGACTACACGGTGAAGACATCCAGTCCCACTCGTCAAGGGGCAGTTTCAAGACTTCGAGAACAAGATTCTTCCCTTCTTCTGTACAACGGTTCGTAACAACTTTTGGACGATCGCCTTTACAGCTTCGGGCAACTGTTTGAACATGGTAAGCCTACCT